TTATATTATTGATAAAGGGACTTTATAAAAGGGTTGTAGCATTTTATTAATGACTAAACTGGTGAGAAATAAAGTTAAAGCTGATATACCACTTTCTTTATATTATTAAGGCCAAGCATGTCTACTGGTTAACTCAACGACAGTATAGATATTTTATAAGAATACATTGTCTTTAACAGCCACAAATGCTTCGGTGTACCTTCAGATAACTTTATTTCTAGATTCCCTAACCTAAGGAGTGTATAACTAATTAAAATGTAAAAATATCCTCATTTAAATCATAAACCACTCAGTGTTTGACAACGTTGAAAAGACGTTTTGTCCTAGTATGGGACTCTTCAGTAGTACACAATGACCGCTCCGCTCGCGAGTATCGGATCCAAGACATTTGGTTTTTGGTAAAAACGCTGAGTCTCTTGGATAGGGGTTTGATTTTAGAGTGTTGTCGCAAACGGACACATCTAGAGGCCCGAAATGAAGAGAAAACGGTCGTCCAAGGCTTCCAGATTTTCACTGATGGTCCAACATTGATCTACTTATGATTTCAATGAAACTCAACAATCTCCATAACCCTATACTGATAAATAGTCTTGTGTTAATGAAGTCTTAATGTTATTCTTTCTACATGATTTATTAGGAATCCGAACCAATAATAAATTACATACATTGTCAAAGCAATATTTATTGTGAGGAAATCAACACTGGCTGATGTTTTAAACAGAAATATCCTGTTAACAAATATTAAACTTGTTTAGTTGATGTTGTAGCTGCTTTGAGAAAAACCCCAAAATAATTTTTATTGAGCTGTTTCGCATGACTTACAATTAGTATAAAACGAATAAGAGATTTCAAGTAAAAATCTGATCTGTTAAAATGTATCGACATGTATACTAATTTTGTAAAGAGAGTTATGAAACAAATGTTAATCATTTCTAGTGATTTGAAGTAATGGTCGATTGATAATTATAGACGTTTCTCCCTTTCAGTTTGCTGATTGAATTATTTTACAGGAATATGGTTTATTGTCGGAAAACTAAGCTACGGGCTTATATATATATATATATATATATATATATATATATATATATATATATATATATATATATATATATATATATATACATATTAATAGATCAAACATTTGGGGTCATTGACTAAATTCAATGATGAAAGCATTTGCATTTATATTCCGAGGCATCAACGTTTGGTCGTTTTACAGTCACCAGTCATACTGAGGATAAATAAATAAAATTTATTGCAGTTTTAATGTTCTTAATTATACCATCCATTAATTTCATTATAAGATGTAGGTTAAGAATACCTATTTTCGAAAAAACATTATGTTATTTGTGTTTTGATTAAATGCAATACTTGGATGCGATTGAATTTTAGATATTTTACGCTGGTATATTTTGTGTAGAGAAATTTTCTAGTTTTAACATTTATAAATTTTAATGGCTATGAGCTTTAATCGTAACGGGAACAATTCATCTAATATAGTATGACCCGCTTAGTTGCCCGATACGTTTCTTAGTATTTCTTCTATTACAAAATCATTTTTTCAAATAACTAATCACCTAAGATGGCAATTATAGGCGTAGAAATTTTCACAGCTTCAAGATCATGACCACACTTCTTTATTTTCTAAATCACGGTATTAAGCGAAACACAACGACTGATTAATAAGATGTTTTTTAACAAAAACATATATCGAAGAGATAATACCTCAAATTCATTAGCTTCTGTTCAACTTTGTACATATATTTTATTCAGATGATAAAATTGGGAGGTTTCCGTAAAAATTCATACATAATTATGGTGATAACGGTAAGAAAGATGGTGCAATACCAAGAAACATTGATTTTAGGTGAATAGCTGTAATAAAAAAGAACCGATCTGACTGCTAAGCTGAATTATTCTTGATTAAATCGTTGTTCCAAATTATTCAAATGTATTATCTACTAAAGAAAAGACACTGTTTACTTTCATAAGTGTGTTATTATTGGTCATTTCAATATTAATGCAACCTTCATAATTTTTCAGCGTAATAATTAGTCAGTAGATGTTCTCAATATCTAAATTCTTCATTACATTGGTTTAATATATATATATATATATATATATATATATATATATATATATATATATATATATATATATATATATATATATATATATATATATATATATATATATATGGATAGATTGTATGTAAGATTAAAATATGTATCATACAATTACCAATCGTTATATTACACAGTTACCAAGTGATATTTGTTAACTGAATTCTCAACTCTTATTTGTTTTATATCATTCCACATATTTTTTTATTATTATTATTATCGTTTTCTTCTTTATTCATTCATTTATATAGATCATTTTAATGCAAGCTTTCCCATTAAAAATTTTTCTCTAAATGCATTATAAATCATTTTTGGATATTTAAATGTTAAAGGAAAAAGTTAAACGTATAAAATTATACAAACTAACACCAGTTCATCAAATGTAAATGAAATTTAATTTCTTTTTTTTTTTAAATTTTTTTTTAAAAATAATAAAAAAATTAACGTTTTTCTTCTTTAAATTTCCATTGTAAGAAACAGGAACAAAAGAAAATTAGATTTTACAGTAAAACTTAATCATTTTTTTAAGTTTCATACACATAGTTCCCTCTTTATCATTTTGAAAAGAGCAAGAACAAAGATTCTAGCAGAATAGCTTGAATTCATTTTATTTCGTAGGTTCTCGTCAGCTGCTTACAACCTGTGATATTTAAAAATCATCATAATTACATAATGGGTTTAACTTGCTTACTGAATATTGTAAATATATACTTAATGTGAAAGAATATTCTACAACATTAATTGTGACAACAGTTCAAAAGTGGGTTAGAAACAATCGATTACATAATGAATAACATTGAAGGAATGTAGTGAGTAGAGTTCAGTTGAAAGATTATTAATTTGAAAGATGGTTGAAAAAAATAAAATAGAGTCAATGATGTAATAAATGCAAAAGGGAAAAATAAAAAAATAAAAAAATAAAATGAAATTTTATGGTGCAGTGAAGGAATCTTTGTCACCAGGGCAAGGAAAGATTAACCACCGTCTCCTTTTGAATACATAGGTCAGGTTTTTGACGCCTGATGGCAATGGCTTCAGCAAACTTCAGAAGACTGGAGTTTGGCTGCTTACTAATCACCCTCTTTAAAAAAAATAACATGAAGGCAAAGAAACATTATGGTTATTTGAAATTAAATGATACTCCTAATCAATTGGGATATGAAATATTGATTTAAATGTTATGAAGTATCATTTAAATCATTTTTATGTGTAGCAACAAGATAGTGTTTAAGTGAAAGCTCATTTAAGATTATGTAATTCATTACTCATTACTTATAAGCCAATTGTTTTATAGAAATATTAAAATATAATAAGTTAGTACTAATCATAGAACTATGTTTATAACATGTTAGTTTGTAAAGATTGTTTTAGGTTTCGGATTATTGTTAGCCGGACAACGATCATCTAATAATTGAGTACCAATGAATTGTACTTGGGAAAAAAGTTCTCAAAATATACTAAATTACTATGGAGATTTGTGGAGATTGTAGTATTTTAACAGTTAACTTCACGAGTTAATCTAAGCTAGATCACCATTGAAAATCTGGAAGCACTGAATGGTCGTTTCATCCTGTTATAAAACTTCTTTAAAGAAGTCTTATACTATTCTAATTAAAATTAGAGATTGAGAAAACTTTTAAGGATATTAAAATAATCTAATTGAAGATGCAGCATATATTTGCCATAAACAAGAATTATGTTGAAGAGAATAAATCTGATGTATCATAGACTTTTAAAATAAAATTGTTATTTCATGTATATTCAATTGTAATTAAAAGTACCAATAGTTAGATTACCAACCTTAATTCAAATAATGAGATGAATTGAAAACCTTTGTAGTAGGAAGGAATAATTACAATTTTCCAGTCTTCTTATTGATTTTTCTGATAACATTTAAATCAGATAATAATAACCATTACATTCTCCATTAATTGAACAAAGGGAATATACATGAAATGCTCAATTTGTTGATCAGACGTTGATTATTTTCAACAACAACAACAAAAAAAAACAAACATAAAATCTGTATTCACACATTTAAAACAAATGGAGAGATCACCAACAAACAAATCGAACAAGAGTTAATTAATTCACAAATTAATTTACTGAACAAAATGAATTTGTGAAAGATAGAAAAATATATAATACTTTCTTTCATAGTTAATATTAAAATGAATAAATGACGATTCAGAAAAGTAAAAGTTGTTTCTGGAAAAAAATGTTTAGCTTAAATGGGAAAGTTTTATCACATATCTCAGACTTTATCTTATAGGATTAATAAATTAGTCTGAAATGATAAAAGCTGATAAAGTCACAAACGATAATTGTTAAAAAACTGCAACCCCCCTACAAATCCACATAGTGATGATAATTATGTACTTACTAGTGGCTAGCTTCATGGTGGATTTCCTGAAGTTCTAGTAAGAAGCTGGGATCATTGGAATTCAATCCGTATAGGGTATGAGAGAGTTATGCACCTCAGACAATGGATTAAGGGTTGTGAAAGATAAATGGATCAGTAGGAGTTAGACATTAATACCATTCGATGCCGGCTTAATGGTCTAGAGTTTAAGTGTTCACGCGCGATGTCTAAGGTACTAAGTTTGAGTCTTGCGTGGAGGATCATGGATGCGCACTTCTGAGAAGTCTTTTACTAGAATGAAGCGACCGTGCAGTGGTTTCATGTTTCCAACGATGGTCTAGCTAAGATTGACACATGAATCCAAGTGTTAAAATAACAAGATAAGTTAAATGTTTTGAATAAGCTTTATTGTAATGAAAGATTATTACGATGAGATTACACTTTCTATTAAATATTTCTATGATTATATTTACTTGTCATAACTGAATTTCTTTCATTTTTTTGGTATGTCTTAGAAAAGGGATTCCATCAAACGATGCAATATCTTTGAGTCAAGAACCTCAGTCGTCGCCACAAATTCCAGCAGTTGTTAAACCACGGCGTGGATCCATATTTGTTTCAGCACTTGCAGCGGAACAACATGGCGCATCAACTTTACCAACAGATAATGCGTAAGTTAGAGTGTCGATGAAAACACCTCATATTCATTTGATTTAACTAATAGTCAAAAAAGCTAATCAATAGTTTGAGGCTATAAAACCTTTTTCTTTTAAATAATTTAGCAGTTTACCGTGGTAATTATTTTGCATCATATATAAAATACTATATAGAATTAATGAAGCATATGATTAGATTAAAAGTATTAGTCACCTCGAAAATAATAACAGACAGATTTTTTTTCTTTTCAATGAACATCATTCTAAAGAGTAACACATTATTCGTATCGTCTCTTCATTTACAATGATCAAGGCAGGCAATAAAATGAATTGACATATTAGATTTTTTAAAGGATAGCAAAAGTAAATTATTGTTATGAAATTTTTTTATTGTTATTATCATTTTCAATGGACACTTATTACGCAAAGCATGTCAAAACATATCAATGTGTTTTAAAATTTTTGCTCTGCAGTTGTTTACAATTTTTATGACGAAAAGGGGTAGCTTGATAGAGAATGAATTGTTTTAGAGTATAGACGAATCCGATAACCCTTCCTAGTTTTGTGATTATTGTCATCTACCTATCTTTTTAAACAAGTCACATTCTATGATGAACACATCATATCGTTTAGCCGTTGTAACATTATGAGAAACAAACTGAAATCATGTATTTCAAAACTATAGTTTACAGTGTACCAACTCGATTATACTAGTTTATCTTACAGATATAGAGTCTTGTATTGTATATTTGAATGGGACTGTGCACACTAGTCAGCTGTTAAACAGTGGATTTACTGACCAGTGAAACATATTCGAACATAATACATTCCAAATTGAAATAATTTTGTAAACTTATATAATATTCATATAATCATAATTATATCTTGATTTGTTCACTGTTAATTTCTATGTATGAGCAGTAAAAGACCCAATAATAAACCGACAGTATATTCTATTGATATTTGGCTAGGCAAAATACAAATCTATTTAACTTACAAAATAGTGAATTATTATAATTATATACTTTATGCAAAATGTCTGTCTTATTAATTTATAGTGACTATTCAAGACTAAAAAAAGGCTTTATTGGAAGAATCCAGAAAAAGAAATACCTTAGAAAAAGTAAAATAAAAGTCCACAGTAAATTTGACAAACAAAACTTTGCATAAATTATGCATAATTTAGTTGGTTAGTGTGTACTATCTATAAATAAAAAAAATAATCAAGCATAACAATCATTCATTGTTATAACTATTTACATTCTTTTGATTGGCGAAAATATGTAAATTATCAAGGGAGTTAGATTGTCGTCCTTATATATATATATATATATATATATATATATATATATATATATATATATATATATATATATATATATATATATATATATATATATATATATATTTGACTTGGTATAAATGTTTAATCATTACTATTGGATTTATTGCCAGCAAGTGTCCACTAAAATCAGTGTTTGATTGAGTTCTATAGACTGTTTATCCAATAGTTAAGTGATAAGTTTAATGTGGAAAAATACTGTATTAATTAAGCTGTCGAAATGTAAAAATTAAAAAATATGCCTGTGCAATACATTCACAAATAACGGTTCAATAAACAAAAGGCAAAAAATAAACAAAATTAGTAAAACAGGTGAATCGATAACAAAGTATCCAGTGACACTATAAGATCACTCCAAGAACACATACATATCATTCTAGTTAATCTCACTTCATATCATAATAACAAAACGTTTAAACTATATGAAAATCAGAAGAGTTAAGCAAATAGTATCATTAATGATAGTGAACAATCAAAAATAGAAGATATACTTAAGAAATAGTCAGTCAATTCGAGAGATAAACCGTACGAAATAATCATCAACGTCAAAAGTTACGGAATTATATAGAAGCAATAAATCTTTACGATAGAAGTTAGTTTTGTGGTATATCGCTTATGATTTTTAATCACAAGTATAACATGAACCATCTGACGGAGCATCATTGTACATTTCTTCATAACCTGATTCTATAATCTGGTTACGTGACTACTAAAATGTATTCATATCACTATTTTAGTACATTATACATATAAATGTAGGCATAAACAGTGCATATAATTATTGCTTACGTTGTGTGTTATCTGCTCTGTTTCAAAGTAGGTGTTGACAACATACTTATATCAACTGATAACAACCGAAAAATTAAAACGTGTTTTGTCCGAGCTCACAATTTTTTTTAGCTGATAGACATCTTAATCTCTCAACGTAACGCTATTCTGTTCGGCTAATGAGTCACAATTTGAAATGTGAAGGAGTTGAAAACTGGAATAAAAGAGCTTTCCAGCAATCTTTCAGCTTTTGACAGTTAAGATATAGAGAATAAGGAAACAAAGATTACATATTTTAATTCAACAGTCGTTATTGATTTGACTTGGTAAATATTTCATAGTTTATTATGATATGATGAACTCAATTTATCGTTGACAAAATGACCTACAACTTAAAGCTACGTATGCAAAGATACCTTAAATTCATATATTATTATTAATGGCTTTATTCAATATTAAACTTTTGGTACAATATAGAATTCTCAGCATAGAGTATCTTAACAAGTTTCCTTTTCTTATTTCTTGATCGATCCTGAAGTCAAATAGTGAGTGATTCCAAGTTATAAGTTAGCAGTTTGAGGAATCGATATCCGAATAAGGTTTATTCTTTTCAATTCATATTGTCAGCCACTGCGATGTTTCTGGTAGTACTTTTTTGTCATTTGTACAGCGAAAGGTTTTAAACGTTTCATAAACACATTTGAATAGGCTTTGCAACAAATGAACATAATGATGCGTTGAAACAAACAAAGACAGATGACTTGTTGAAATACTTAGATAGCAGGAACAGGTGGACCAGATATGTCAATATTGCAGTTAATAATGTTAATAGTACAGTAATGATATAAATAAGAATTTTTAGTATGATATCATTATCACACCATACGTAGAAATTCGAACAAATAATAATAAACAGTTTTATTATAACTGATGAACTAAATTAAAAATGAGAAGACACATGAATTTTATTTCATTTCTTGGCACTATAAACACATTGTTATACAATGGACAATTAGTTTGATTAAGGAGAATATATTTTAAAACCGGTGAATCAATAACCAATAACTTAAATTTTTAAATACAGAATACAATTCGTTATATAATCCATCTTCTTATCTTGTATCTTATATGAATAATTGCCTCGGTCCCCACTTACCAAGATAGAACTAATCATAATTATTATTAATATCATTATTGTTTAAAAGGAATACTGATCGTCAGATAGACAATCAACCAAAATAAATGAACCATTGATTTTAAACATTCATTATACCTGTCCTTAGATAATGAACTTGAACAATATTCAAATATTATGCTTATTTTATTTCATATTTGTAAATTTCATCAATGTTACACTATATATTGTATAATCAATCCACTTCTCGACAATGACTGATATATATATATATATCTTGTGAACTTTTAATAAACAAACGAATGAAGAATATATACGGATCAACACAGACATACATAGTATGACATAGAAACATGAAAACCCACTCGTAGATATAGATATATATATATGTATATATATATATTCCTATGCGTAATTGTTTATATTTGTTACATACTACTTATTATTCAGTATAATATTTCGTTTCTAACTTGTTTCATTTCTGTAAAACTAATTAAAATAACACTATTATTGTTATCATTAACAAACATAACACATATTGAAATGTAATGTTCATGGAAGTATTTTTATAGTTATTGATTTATTTATTGCACATTATCAGACCTAATGTTTACATACCTTTTTTATGATGACTTATAAAAACAAGTGATTAATACATTGTTCATGTTTATCGTAATGTATCATCAATTTATGTCAGTAAATGGTTTACAATTTCATTAAATAATTATGACAATATAAGGCGTCATGTGGAAGAAATGTTGTACTATAAGCTGTATAAAATGTAGTGATCATCGTCATCATCATCATCATCATCATTCTCAACCGAAATTAAATCAGAAGAATACATCGAAATCGAAAACAATTAAGCATCCTTCAACAAATTCAGAACATAGTCGGTCTTTATTATTGGTGAATTCTTCAAATACAAAACATGCAGAAAATAATTATAATCTAAATTCAAAATGTGATCATTTGACCACTTCTTTGTCCACCAGTAGAGATTATCAAGTGGAGCCTCAGAATATGGTAGACGGTAGTGATCGTAGAAGCATGATGACAACAGTAACTACTACTCACACTACAACAACAACCAATGTGGCTACTATATCTACTCCTACTTCCATTAATAGCATTACAACTTTAGATTTAAGTAAAATAACTTTATATCAACCTGGATGTAACGGTAAATATAGTCAGCATTCATCACAGATTAATCCAATGAATAAAAACACTGTAAATATCACTACTACTTCTGCCATTACTGCTGATACCAACGATAGAAATAATGGCGATACTCATGGGTCAAAAGATAATAGTCTAACCCCCCTCATGTTGTCTACTATAACTAGTTCATCTGTAACAATGCGTCCAGGTAAACAATTAGAATCTTTTGTACACAGAATTGAAAAAGATGAGGAAGGCACTAGGCCATTTAACCAGTTGTTTAGGCGATCTGTTTCCAATATACATTTCACAACGAATAATCATGCTTATTCTCACTGTAATCATCATAATTCTCCTACATTTTTTTTACCGCGTACATCAACTGATCCAAATACATCAACATCAAATGGTTTATATTCGATCACAAATAATTCATTTGAATCACAATTAATGAATAAAAAAATTCCTATACGTAGAGGATCGATGATTGTTAGATTGGGTCGATCTAGTACAGGTGGGGCAACTGTTGCAACTAGTACCAGTTCACCAAGTACAAATGGAATAACTGGAGTCTTACCAGATTCATCCGTTGAAGGCGTGATTGTGACACCATTTGCTCAAGTGCTTGTTAGTATGCAACGAATACGGAATGCATTTATCAGGTTGACCGCTGCTCAAGTATCAAATAGGTGAGTACTTAACATTTTTGCGATATCAATAAAGTATATGATACTGTTTCCCTTTTTCAAAATCATCCACTTCAATATATCATTATTTTTTAATTGTAGACATCATAGACTATATGAAGATATACATTGCTTTCCCACCTAAGAAAGTCGTCAGTTGAATTTATTAGCATTTAGATAATATTTTATTTTTATTACGCTTACGAATCGGTACTCTTCATCGTCATATTCTTCTGTTTTCAAACTTCGGAACCACCTTCACATAACGGCTTTTTTCACTAAATCATGTTTATTTGAACAGACGTCTATACATTCATACATAAAAAATTTCGCCCTGTTATCAGATTGCCAAAGCAGGACCTATATAATGAAAGATGAACTAATCTAAGCAGATGTGGTTTTGAATTTCACTAGATGAATAGATAAATGTTGAGCTAGAATAGATGGAACATGGCTAGCATTGGAATCTACGATGAACTCTTCGTCCAATTTCGGACTCATCGGGTGGATGTACCTGGGTCGTAGGGTTAATTTTCACTCTGGGATTGGCACCTAATATCGTTCATTTTAAACACCGTTGCGTTATCGACTTAGCTACTTAGTCGAGATAGCCACTCACTTGCGCAAGATGCAAGATTCGTTATATTTGGGATTCGTCGCATATATCAAGATAGTTCGCTTATGATTCTCCTTTGCTAACCAAGATTGATCAAATTCCAGTCAAAAATATCAACAGTAGGTTAATATAAGCCATTCTAAATTGAATTATATACAGCAATAACTTGAATTCTATTAAACAGTAATTGATAAAACAAACAGCCTTAGTACAGATTGATAGAAATGAACAGCTACAAATTCTTGGTTATGTGCAATTCTATCGGCAAAATCCGCGAATTCAGTGGTGAGATATCAAAATTAGATGGAATGACACTTATGAAATAATATAAGTGAGTCACAATTAGGAAAAATAAACTTAATCATTCACATGCTATGTAGACAGTTGTTGAAAGATGACTACATATATGAACATATCAGCTGATTTTGAATAACGAAATTCAGTGGTACCTTGTTAAGTTATCTAAATTTTGTATGAAAGGTAGTTTATTCATGTCATTATCGTATAAGCAAATAGAAATTGAGAAGAAATGGTAGAATTTGTAAAAAGATTTTATTAGTTCTATTCACTTACATTGGAAAAGTGAACCAATGCTTGAATATTTCAGTAATTTATTTGTAAGTACTGATCACTATATGGGATTAAAAATAATTCGCCAACTTACTACCTGATTTATCTGATCATAAATGCGATCTGAACAGTCGAACAATTAATAATACCCAATAGGTCTTTAAATGTGCACTGTAAATGAGTAAACACATATCTTTTACTATACATGAATGTTTGATAAATTGTATTCTCTTTAGTCGTCGATTTAATATAATATTGAGCAGACAAATGAACCAAAAGTTACGTAATGAGTTCATTTATATTTTCTATTGTAATCTATAAAGCGTATTGCACACAAACGTTTTCGTATAATGAATTGAATGATTTTACAAAATTCTCTATACAGAAAATAAACAATCATACTTTTTAAATTTTTTTTACATATGAGTAATAATGTGGCGGTGTTCCAGCCAGATTAGTTGGTTAAGTCTTTTCTGAGGAGGCCTATGTAGGTCCTTCTGGAATGGATTCCTTGTTTTCAAGGCTCACAAACCCACAGCGTGAATGTGGTTTTGTGGAGAATCACGGTCTCGCAGGTCCGTTGATCAGCAGCGCTGAGAGGAGGCCGAATTTTTCTGCCGATTATTAAGGTGTAAAGGTAATAGTTAATAGGATAAGACATAAATCTAATTTCGGTAGTTAGCAACTTAGGTTTGAACTTTACGAATAGAATGACCATCTGTTAGTCGGTAATGTTGAATTTAAATATGAAAAGTAAAATATGAATAATTGGTGTAATTTTATTTCACCTCCTTATAATGAAATATTTAGTAACGTTGTAATCTAATTCAGTAATCATTTAATACGATGTTACTGACTTTAATGTACACCATATTTATAATTGTTTTATATTGTAAAACTGTTTATATTTGTAAATTTATCATACTATATACTTATGTACATTAATGAACCATAAATATGACTGTATAGCTTTAGTCACTTTTCTCTAAAATTGTATTAATCTCTCGATTACAATTAACTTTTAACACTAGTGTTGTTATTTCTGTCACTCATGTACTAATGAAGTTTATAGAATATGATATAGAACTAGGTGGAATATAAATGGAATAAATTAAAACGAAACACGTTCATACTAACAAACTAACTTTACATCACTAACAATCTGTGTTAAACAATATACTAAACTGGTAGTAAATTTTAATGTAATTCAATGTTTATTACTAGTTGTATGTAAAACTATTAATCTTTGATTTCAGTTGTACTTAAGTTGGTCGGGTTGAATATACAGGAAAACATATCAGCTATCAGACAATATCAAAATTATAGGAAAAGAAAAAAAACTGATTTCATCAAGAGGTATTTGAGGAATCTTATTGTTTATTCTAGTTTCACATCGGTTCGCGATATGAATTATGGAAGTTTAGCACTTTCCACAGTATTCTATGATCATAACCTCAGTATGTTTACCAATGACTAACTTCTTGATGTAACTCTAGTGAAAGCCATGACCGTTTGAGGAGTAAGACGAATATCAGCATTCGTAGGATCATGAATTAATTAGGGTTAGACATGTAAACCACTCTGCGTCAGCTCAATAGTTTTAGCATACGTTGTGAGACTTGAAAACTCTGGATTTTTTTACAGGTTGTGTCGTGGATGTGAATTACTAAGTAATCCTATTTTAAGGTGAAACAATTGTTCATTGATTATCCAAATAAGGTCAGCTTGCGAAGTACACTATGATATTTAAGTTTCATTTATTTATTATAACTGGAACAAGAAAATATTACATTTTTCTATTGATTAAGAAAGTAATAATGATATTTATATTATGAGGTCAATTACAATAAATAAAGAATGGAAGAATTAATTTCTATTATGAAACTCGAGAACATTCACAGGTCAATTTGTGGATGTGAACAAGAACCTTCTGGGTACACAAATAATTAGTTATGTGTGACTTCTTGTTAATCAGGTCAATTTTCTTCTTCTTCTTCTTCTTATTATTATTATTATTACTCACTTCTGTAAACATGTAGAAATTTTATGATTTACCTTTTAAAATCAAATGGTTTTTGTTGATTAATTTGTACACATAAAATGAAAAATAATTAAGTAAATAATTATTTATAATATTGTGTTTAATTAGAAGTAAAACGTAGAAAAATCAAATATTCGCTGCTTGGTAACTGTACATACATAGATCAATATGTGCATCTTTATGTATTATGAAATATTGTCACTCTTGTGGCCAACGTTATCAGGCTGTTTGTTTATACGGGCCATTAATGATGTGTACACCTTGAGCCTATTAGACAAATGACATTCAGTTTAATTAGTAAAATGATTATACTGACAATAATTAGTCTTAAACAACAAAGACGAATAATCTCATTAATATTAGTTCAGAAAGCAGCACCCTTCAAGCTATAGTAGCCATTCAGTAGTCGAAACAGAACCGAAAAATAAAACTTATTATTGTCAATCATCATGATTAAAACCCTCATAGGCTTGTACACAATAATCATCAGAACACAATTCATGATTATTAGGTGATTATAAGTAATGCACAACTAAGGCATAAGTGTTATGGAATGGAGTAAAAAGCAAATGATTAATTAACCATGATTTGAGGAAGGAAAATATAAAAATACAATAATCTGGTTATTTTGTAACCAGTTCTGATAATCTTCGTCTTCTTATTACATTATCGAAATTTACCAAAGGGACTAATTGTTTTATAGCTTATAACCATTTAACGATAATGTATTTGATCCAAGCTATATTTAAAAATGTTTTACAGCCAAAAATCACTTGAATTTAGTTTGTCAATCAATTCTGTACTTAGAATAAGTCTTATAAAAAAAGTAGTACCATGAATTTCGTTATAAATGGGGTGAAATGTATAATTCAATTATAAAACTGTGGTAATAATGGGTGTTTGTACTAGTTATCTAATAAAAAAATGTATGCCATACATTGTTTACACTTCTGAAATTAAAAATTGGTCCACTCAATCGTAATCAAGCTCAAAGGCTACAACATTAACGTTGAGCGTGATGAATGCATATAAATTAAGTTACTGAAAATTCACTTTCTTTGAAATTTCTAGCTTATCATCTGTGTGCACTACAAATATTGAAAAATTCCACATTTTTCAAGGTATAATAATTAATTTATAGAGATTAAAGCCAGGCATAAACATTGAAAATGATCTGAACTACCACAATACACTGAAATTCATGTTTAAGCACACTCTCAAACCTATCGAGGTTTGAAATAAGAGGAATTTTGCTCGATTTCAAATTTGGACATTAACATTAAGATGTTTAGTTCATCCAATTAACTTGTCCCGAATGGGATGATATGAGTGTCTTGGGTTCCACTTTTATCCACCATCCGACCCTACTTCAAAACGCATTGTTTTTGGTGCATTAAAGGATAAACTTTATAATCGTCAGTCACTTGATAGGTTGTATTTATCATAAGAAATGACGTTGTCCTCATGCAGTAGACATGCTGATATTCTTGATTAGTTTGATAGTTATAATTAGATGACAGTTGGCATTGACCTAGATCATTATTATTTTGACTCGTTGTGGTTACACTCTAAGAATATTGTGATTTAAACAATATGTCATGGTGTTATTATAAATGACTTACGTATTTGATATTTCTAATTACGTCAAGCCTGCTTTCACCTATATATTATAACCAAATAAGGCCAACTTCGAAATGTTCTGTTTTTTTCTAAACATATCACATGCCTTATTCAATTTAAACAGAATTTTTGTATAACAATTTTAAAGCCTAAAGT